AAAATGAGTTTAGAGATCTCTACTTCTGTGGCACGAAGAATCCAAATGTTACCATGTCTGTAGGCAGCTGTCCCCCAGTTATTTCAGGAGAAATGTAAGTCTCTACATCATGATGGTTCTTAGGCCTAAGTTGTAATGTCTTCCTTAAAGAAGAGCCTATGGCTATTTCAAATGTTTACATTATTCACAGAATAACCATTCAAAAGCCAGTCTCCTCAAAAATATATCACAACATAATGTATTTTTGAGTATCTATTAAAATTTCGCAATTACCTAAGACTGAAGTAGAGACAAGACTTCTACTCCTAAAAATGGGCAAATGAGCTAAATGAAATTGTTTTTGATTACTTGGCCCTGGCTTATCAGTTTTCTTAGGAACAAACAACTCTGGGGTTACTTTACAACAGGAATGCAATTTATGGGCAACAGAGCTGGTAGGAAGCAGTAGACTTGCGATCAGAAACATGCCTGCCCCTCGGAGCTAGTTTGTAAATAATGGTGATACTATCCCTGCGCATACAGAAGGGAGCCAAGGTATCTCCTAGTGTTACTTCCCTACTTGAAATATTCTGAGTATTGATGCATTAAGCAGCAGCAATGCAAGTGTTTCATCATGATGACACATACTACATGGCTGGTAGACTGAGGTTATTGCAGGAAAGAGCACTAGAGCAGGGTTTTCATAGCTTTTGCACCTCAGACTTGTTTTATGGACCTCCAGTGACTGCTGCATAAAACAAATGCTTTTGTATATCTGGTGGGTTTCATATGGTCCTGAGGCTTACTTATATCACCAGCTATCTGCGAACGACAACTATGATCATCATATGAAAGATGATGAGAACCAGAGCTCTAGATTTGTCCCTCTGGCTGTTGATTCGTGAGGGGTTTTTAAGCTCTTCCACTTATGTCAGTTCTATTTTGCTGATTTGTGGGTAGAGAAAAGTTTGTGCAACAGGAATAAAAGTAATTACTTTGAGACTTACAGAATTTCACAGAATGGTTTAGGTTGGAAGAGACCTCTGGAGATCATCTAGTCCAACCTCCCTGCTCAAGCAGGGTCCTCTAGAGCATATTTCCCAGGAGTCCATGAGTGTTTGATCAGTCACTGACTTGGAGATACATCAGACATTACCTCCATAGATAAAAGGTGCACATGATTGTTATGAATTGCAACTTGACTTTGCATAGCCGAGGACAAATATTACAAATGTTAATAATCTGTCTATATTTACCCTGATTTTTTTTTTCAGTTCTGCACCATATATGATTTTAGGGCTCTAAAGTAACTTAAGACTATCGTGTGGAGTCTCAGGTTGTCTCACTAATTAGAAAGTCCTGTATTATACTGCCCTAAATCTTGTTTAGTGTTTACATTACAGCGCCATGTGGCGCATACTGACTTCTGCTCCATGCTTTTCTGCAGCTGTTCTGGTGAGATACACCTCTGCAGCCAGGGAATTACACCTACCAACTGGGCTATGTGGGAAAACATAGTGGCTCTATTCTGCATGACTGTTATCTTCCTTATGATAGCCTATGCAAAACTCCGATTTATGAGAAAGTTCACATAGACTCCTCTGTCGCCTTGCTGTGCAGCTCTACAGGACTTAAAACTGCAAAGCTTGTTAGAGCCTACTGGAGGTTGCCAAAAGATTTCAGCTGACTTTACCGGAATTTAAATGGGAATCCTGTTGCCTTGTTTCTGAAGTATGATCTCTATGTGGTTATATTATTATGTTTTTAAGAAGAAATGTTTTACTGTAACACTGAGTAGGTGAATTTTTAAGGATCTAAGAGGGGAATATATTCTCTTAGGTACTTATCAAACTATGTATTATAGAACTTTGTTCTTCTGTGGCAAGCCTCTGATGTATTTCAGAGAAATTATACAGGAAACGTTCAAAAGCAAACACTTCCCTTTGAAAGCATGAGCTTCTCTCATCACACGCAGTACAAAGTTATGATGGCATGTGTGCATTGATAACGCTGGCCCTCAGGAGCGCCTGAGCCCACAGGGCGCGTTGGAGAGGCATCCCCGTTCGACGTTAGGACACAGGAACGAGCTCTCCTCGAGGCAAGAACAGTTTCCTTCTAGTAGCATCACAACAGAAGTGACTTCTTGCAGCAACAGCTTTTGCTCATGAAAACTAAACACACTGTCCGAGACTAACTCCAAGGGACAAATAAGACTGATGAACTGTAAAACTGAACTATTTACTACTTAAAAAGGGATTTTTTTTTAATAATAAACCAGCTTTCGTGTACTTAGCAATGGCAACTTCTGTCTTTTAACGAGCTACCACGCGTGGCACCGTCCACATCGTGCTATTTTGGACACCGAGCTGAAGGACCGGGCATACGCGCCGCAGCGCTGCCTCAGGGCGCGCACGGAGGACGGCGGCGGCCCCCCTCCCGTCCCCCCGGCAGGGC